TTTCCCCAAAATTAAGTATATTCTGTACCTAGACTCAATTATATACTCTATATTTTTACTATCCCTTATATGGTAAAAAATCAATCTTTCTCGAACTGATTCTCTTTCCTTAATTATCCTTGTAGTATCCGTTTGAGCTGTAACTCCTTGATTAAGGGGAAGTACTTGTATTAATTGATTCTGATGATGATTATTTTCATATTTGTGTTAAACCTTTACTTGTTACCTTATTTTCCACTTCTTTTCAAAGCTATAAATACCCTACCCTCTCTTCTTTAAAGACATGAACAATTTAGTTCAGAACACACACTTACACACTCAAACTCTCTCTTTCTCTACTACTACTTGTGCTACTGCTTTGTCTAGCCGGCTAAAAGCCAGGACTAGACTGTGGAACTCTAATTGCTTTACTTTTTCTGCACTTTGCTTCTTCAACTGGTATGTCCCTAGTTTAAATACTGAAACTCAACTCTATGTGTTCCCTTGTTTGTCAACCCCTGTCTCTTGCACTAACTTAATGGCTCATGCTGTTAAATTGTATTTCTTGTTCACTACTTTACTTTACATGCTTAAAATTCTGCCCTCCTTTTGTTCAAATGTAATCAGCATATTTACTTGTTCTTGTTTATGTCCCTCAACCAGCATGTCTCCTAATGTACTTGATTCATGATTAATTATGTGTTTCTGATTTGGGTCCTCTATGTCCCCAACCCCTACTCCCCTGCTTGTAACTGCTAAAGTTGTACTACTCTCTGAACTTATTCTGCATATGTTGATTGTTGCTCATATCCTTTGTCCCTTTCAAAACTATTTTTTCTAAGCAACTCTTTTGTTGTTGTTGCAAATTTATTTCAAACCAATCATTTTCAAAACTGTTTTACAACTCAACTCTCTTAAAACTGTGTCAAGCACTCTCACATGCACTCTTAGATCATTAGGTTCTGCCCCTCTTGTGTGAGCCTTGCTTTGGGACCCTTGATCTCCCTCTGAACCTGGACACACAAGAGTTGGCCCTTCCACACTGCACTTACTCTTGGTTATGCAATTTGGGTGTGAGTACTGCCTGGGATCCCTTGAGGTTCTTAGGGAACTCTGACACACCTAGATATGAGAAAGGCTTTGGAACAATATTGGCATTTGAGGTGGTTTATTACATAACTCAGAGAGGAAGTCAAAATCAGGCTTCTTATAGTTGTAACTTCTTATTCTTCATTTCTTATGTAATTCTATCACATTGTCTATAATAATTTGTAAACCGGTATTGGGGTGGCTAGTGAAAAGGGATGGGTAAATATGCATGCTATAGTTGTTAAGGATAGAAAACATGTTATTAGGTTTATGTTCCTAATTGCGCAATAGAAACCATGCTTAGGGTTCATGCATGCATTAGAAATCTTGCTCTTAGGTCTTATGTTTATTGTTTCAGCATGTGCACCTTTACAACATCATGTTTTAAAATTTGTTAATAATTAGCACTTTACTACATTCCTGCCATATGCACTTAGGAATCCTGCTCTAAGGAAATTCTGCATTCCTGCCATATGCACTTAGAAATCCTGCTCTTAGGAAATTCTGCATTCCTGCCATACGCATTTAGAAATCCTGCTCTTAGGAATTGTGCATATTAGATACCATGTTCTAGGACCTTGTTTGCATTCTGTTTAAAACGCCTAGCTAATTACTGATTCATGAAAAGGTAGTAAATAATGATTTTCACATTGTGATATTTTCTGAATAAAATTGGCAACAACCTCTACAACTAGAACAACATGTTTTATGTAATAAAAATAATCTCCAAACTTCCTTAATGACTTGGAACAACTATTGCATCTCGCTTTGCACCTAGGCAAGCCTTAGGTAATAACTTAAGTAAAAGTGGATTTGCCTTTATTTAATTATCAACTGTTAAAATCAGTAGGCAAACCTGATTCGGGCTTCTTTTTTGAGTCATGTAATAAATGTGGTTCTGATGTTACCACTTAAACACCCTGCTTTAGGATTTTAAATTCAGACATTAACTGTGTATAAGTCATATTGTCTATGTGCATTATTTGTGGAGGTATCACTGAGCCTTCTGCTTGTTTTCTGTGTCTTCCCCCTTTAAATGCAGTCCTACTTGTTTTGTATGTCGCCTTAGTATTTTGCCTTTAAATCTGAGGGTCTGCCTAGAACCTCATTATAGGATAGGAGTCCTAAATTCCTCTAGGACTGATAGGAAGGGATGGGTAACAGCATGCAATAAGAGTCGAGACCAATCTTCGCTTAATTACCTTTACGGGGCGGGAAAAGGTAGATATGGATATAATGACCGGTGCACTAATAACACATGTATCCCCTCTTTTGAGGAGTGTCATACCGGATATTGCATTAATGTGATCAATATTAAAAATAAACCTAGGACACCCCTTTACATTCATAAGCATGCTTAGATTGTAACTCTTTTCAAAATCTTGCTTTCATTAGTCGCTTGTGTACTTAAACCCCCTATTATTTGAGCCCTACTTGCTAATTGCACAAATTCAGAAAAACTGTGTGACCGGGAACCACACTAGCGGATCCTGAGGGGTGCCTAACACCTCCCCCTTAGGATAATTTCAAGCCCTTACCCTATCTCTGGTTATCAAATGTAGTTGTAGATAAACCTTGTAGGTGCCCTAACGCACCTTAAAAATCGTTAGGTGGTGACTCTTCAAAAGCACAAACCTCGTTCCCAAAAGGAATGAGTTGTCCCAAAAATGTCATGAACCCTATTTTCGCGGAAGGGGAAAAAGGGGGCGCGACAGCATGGCGACTCTGCTGGGGATATTTAGTCTTTTACCATTTCATACCGTTTTTTTGTGAATTTGTACCCCTTCCCTATGTGCAATTATTTGATTAATTCCTTTAAGCGTTCAATTTCTTTTTCAAAAGCAAAACTGACATATCTTTCCTGTTTCCTTCCTTTATAACTGCTTTAAATTATGAAACTGCTGTATTTTGTCGCTTTCTTAACGTGCAAATACATGTCAACATGCTTTTAATTATTGCATAATCATGTTCAATATCATACTCCACTCGTGCCAAACAAATACTATAGCAATGCTTGATGAGTGGTTGCGCTCTTCCTATATCATTACCCCCTAAATTCGGAAAGACATATTTGCGGTAAAACTAGTCGATCAGCGGTGCAGTCGACAGTTCCGTGCCTTCCCCCTTGAGTTGTCCGCTCAAGGGTACCAGTCTAAAACTCCATAGAAACCTTACTCTGTTTAAATTGTGCATGCATCATGGTCAAACCTAGTCGGGTCAGTTATGTTGTCCACATAATTGTCTTTTAAGATAGCATTGTCCAAATGTCCACTGGGTTTTTCTAAACCAAATGGACATCATCAAATTCTGTGCATTTATTTGGAGAACTAAATGCTTCATGCTAATTCTTGATGTTGAATAGTCGAGTCTGGTGGGGGTAGGGTCTAACCCTTTTGGTTTTGCAGAAAATGAGGTACGAAGTCCCCAGATTCGGCATGGTCACCAACATCCACCCAAGATTGCTAAACTGGTGGAGAGATTTACACTCTAGTGACCAAACCCTCGTCAGAAAATATCTGGGCAATCTACCATCCCTCCGGAAGGTCTAACCTAACAACATGATAATAGAAGCTGCTACCTTATTTTGGGATTGTGAAAGGTCTGTGTTCCGCTTTGGGGACGTCGAGATGATACCTTTGCTAGAAGAGATAAGAGTACTGGCCGGTCTAGTGTGGGAAACTCCGGGTTTGCTGATGCCTGAGAACCGCAAAGGCAAGGGTTTCCTTAAAATGATTGGGTTTGAAGAAGAATGCAGAATTAGTATGCCTAAAGGAATCATACATCTCTTTTGACTACTTGTATGAAAGGTACGGTCACAGCAAATCATACCGTACCTACCCTGACGAGTTTGCCATCACGTCTTTGGGACACATCTATCGTAGGGTTTTCGTCTTCATGTTTTGCTTCCTGGGTCTGATCGTGTTTCCGATGAAGAAAGGGAGGATCCATACTAGGCTGGCTATGGTAACCAAGACCCTAATGGAGAGGATTGGTGGGCAGGCATTCGGCATTGTGCCCATGATCATCGCAGACATATACTGAGCCTTAGAGAAGTGTGAACGAGGAGCAAAACAATTCGAAGGATGCAATCTACTACTTCAGCTTTGGCTCATGGATCATCTCCAAAAGGGTGAATACCGACAAGAGATTCAGCGGAGGTACTGGGATGATCATGTCGCTTTCCACCACCCAAAGCGAATGAATTACATCCCCGACATGTTCGCTCAGCCTGAGATAGCCAAAGGATGAGTTGAGCTCTTTGATAATCTGACTGAAGAACAGGTTCAATGGATGTTCGAGTGGTTTTCGACAGAGGAATTCATCGCCCGATCCAGAGATGCACCTTTTCTGATACTGATTGGTCTAAGAGGAACATACCCTTACGTCCCTCTTCGAGTTATGAGGCAAGCAGGTAGGAAGCAAGTCATACCCAGGGTCGACAAGATGAGCCATTTCCGAGCTGACTTCCAAAATGATGACAGTCCTTACAAGTGCCAAGCACAACACATGTGCACTACAAGAAAAAAGGTCTTTACCGGCATAAAATGTTGCCGCTAAACCATTTACCGGCAATTATTAATTTGTCGTTGAATGCAGCGTCGCTAAAGGCTTTAGCTGCAATTCTGCCGAGTGCTGGTAAATATACCAATTATTGCCGTTAAAAGTCCTTACCTTTTAGCGGCATTAATTTAGAGGCAATTAAAATGGCCATTAAAACTACGTAAGAAATGTTCTAGCTTATACATTCAACAGCCTTTATTATTGTCAGTTAAGACCAATAATATACTGGTAAAGGGGACTCATTTTAGCGGCAAATGTAATGGCTACTAAAACTACTCTTGCTTTAGTTTTTATTTATGTCTTCTCTGGCTTTTGTTATAGCTGAAAAATTTAAATGTAAATATACAAAAGTTTGTAATGAAACATGCTAGTATCCATTCTTAAAATCATAATGTACTTCATTAAATCCACAATAAACAAATACAACTTCTAATCCATCGTTACAAAGTGTGAACAACCTAAGAAAAAAAAATAAACCATTTGAATCAAATGATATTTCAAGTCTAATAAAAATCTCTCTTCGAACTCTTAAATCATATTGAGTTCTTCCACATGAAATTCCAGTTTGAAGATTCAATTGTGTGCCAGTAAGATAGGCTGAATTGTATCAGATCAAGTTGCATCCAAGAACTCATCCAACTTACAACTCAAATCTTCGCCGATATATTGTAGCTTTCAACTAACCTTTGAAGAGTCTCACCAAACTATAATCATACTTCAAAAGCAGTCAAAAAGAGCTTCACATAATGAACAAAGTCAGTGTAGAATTACTAGTTGTTCGCATTGCACAACCATTTTTGAAGCTAAAATATTCCACAAGCAGCCATAGCCCAAAGTAAAGCAACGTCCCTAGTTCTTGTTAAAGGAATAGATGCACCAGATTCTTTTATGGAATCGAAGGTAGGCATATATGCATCTTGCGTAGTGCAAGTATTTCCTTCACATCGTGAAAAATAAACTTTTTTAAGTAACTCAAACATCACTAAACAAGCAGAGTTATAAAGCAAGACAATGACTGGCTGATATGCATATATAAAGTACATCCGGAGAAGTTTTCTATAATGACGAGAAGTTAAGATAGATAGTCTTGGTATTTTTGTGTGACTTAATACTTGAAAACTAGGACAACGTGAAAGAAATAGTAACCATAAAGTGTGTACAAACTTAAAGAAATCGAAATAAACTATCAGATCAAGTCATTTAGTTAATGTAGCATGTTAAGCCTATGGTGATCATGCTAGCTTTTAGTGCTGTTAGATAGCCAAATTCTGTATGATAGATTATGATTTGCACTTAAAAAATTAATTTGAAGGATGTATATAATAGATATTGTAGTAGAATGTACGAATTACTAGACACTATTCAACATCTACATGTTTCAAATCCAGTTTAATTTTTTATCCAAAACCCCCATTCAACACATAAGAACATATAAGCTGCAGAGCACCAACAAGAAGCAATTTTATCACCACAAGAACATAACATAACCAAGTAATTGAAAATAACAAATCAGGTTCACTGTCAATTAAAGAGTGCATCTCATAAATGAGTCAAAGAAAGAAACGTACTATAGAGATTTGGAAGGCAACAACAGAGAGCGAGGCTTTGTTAACCATGTGAATGTAACCACTACACATTATACGTGTTCTTAGTGTTTGCATGAATACAAGGCATAATAGATAAAAATCTAAAAAAAATATCAAGAACTGCAAGGAAGTGCAAAATTTAATAGGAACAAACAGTTGTATGTTGATCTGACTTGATTCTAGTGATTCCAAAACTGTTTCCACCTCACTCTTAAAGCTCTTAAGTTACCATCTTTGTCAAACACCTAAAAAAAGAAAAGAAAACATCACAAAAACGTAGAAGTCAGAACCTAAGGCAAGAAAATATAAGGAGAAGTACCTCTTAATAAGCTAAAATATAACAAAAATGTTTGCACCTTTATTGTACCAATCAGTTTCCTATCTTTGTCTTATTTTCTCCAATTTTCACCTCTAAACCAAAAGAAGTTCACATTATCTCTGCTTATGCTATAGACGTTGCATCTCCTTTATTCTCATTATACATATATTTTATTGCATCTCTCCTTTGTACTTTTATTGCATCTCCTTTGTTCTCATTACATATTTCATTCAACCTCTATTTCTCTGTTTGGGATAACAGATATTTCAAATGAAAACATTGATGAAGAATAAAAATATAACTTAACAGCCTAATTAAACTCAGAGGTAATTCTATTATTCTTCAAAATTTAGCATGTAAAGAGAATCTACCCTAACTCATAAACAAAGGAATTAAAACTAATACGAATGTGTGAAACTGATATCTGATATTTTAAAGATTTAAAGACTACTTGTTAACAATATTGTCATTATATATAATTTGTTCAAGTGACATCACCTCTGTTGTGGCATTTTATCAAACACCAAATGGGCTTTGTCCTCTAGAATAAAATACTTTAAGTACTACCGCAAATTAGAACCAGATCAAATCATGAGTAATACAAAGAAAACAAATAAATCATCCTTATCTCCTATGATTACAAAATGAGTACAAAGAAACGCCAAAATAAATAAATTAAACTAACATATATCATTGTAAAATTGAAAAGGAAAGAACATAGAGAGTGTACTTACTCCAATGTGACGATTGACATAGAGATGGATGCAAGCCGAAGCAAGTGTCGACAAAAAAAGTATGAGGAAATAAGATACCTATTCACCCATAAGAAAAATTTAAAATATGCACACAAAAATTTTCCTTAAATTGATGGCCATTCAACCATTACCTTTACTGCGCTTTCTACAAGTACCTTGATCTTCAAAATCATGGAAGTTTCAAGTTTTAAAGGGTAATCAAAAAACAAAAGAAAGATGAATAGGAAATAAAAAAAGCTATTGGGCGCGATTAGCTAGAGAAAGAGAGGGAAATGAAAATATATAGGGTTAACTTTTGGAGGGAAGTTAAAAATGAAAATTGGCTCTTTCACTGACCATTTCCACTAATTGCTGAGAAAAATGAATTTTTCTTGGCCAAAGTATGTTTGCCGATAATATTTCATCTTAGCGGATAAATTAGTGACAATTAGCTTATCGCCACTAAATATATGCCATTAAAAGCCTCTTTTGTCGTAGTGGTGGCATTGCAAGATCGTAATGGGGAGAGACACCATCCAGCCAGACCGATATCATGCTGGTTGCACTTCTTTCTATTCAGGTTGGTTGGAAGACAATCATGATGGTCTGGGCCATCCAGGGTTCGTTCGAGGTCACAGAATTATAGATGAAAAGGCCAAGGCGCAAGTCAAGTACAACCAGCTGCGCAAAAGGATACGTGAATGCGAAAGCGAACACCGTGAGATATAAGAGTCCAACCAGAAATTGATTGATGAATGGAAGGATATGGCTATCAGTGCCAACAAAAGGCTAGGATACTTGGAGTAAGGCATAGTAGAACTGGAGAGAAAATTTCTCAAAAGGGTTGAAGGGACCGAAGGCGGACATCTAGCCAGAGCATACCTGTTGCTGGGACTTAGCGAATTGGGGAAGTTGTTCGATGGAGCAAGGCCGAGTCTGGGGAAGGTCCTTCTTGGACCAAATAGATAGGAGTTTATCTTTTTCTCTTTATGAATGTAATAAGGCCAATGGCCATTAGTAACTTTTATTTCTTGATTATTTAGTGTCATTTTGGGATTCGTCTATTTTTATCAATAAAATGAGGCATTTAGCATTAAAAGTTCTCCAAATCAATCTGTCGATAGGCTTACCTCTGGTACAAAGAGGTTCCCAAATTAGGACACGTTTTACATTCCCGCACTATGTGTTTAAATATTGTAATACTTTTTATAATTCTCACTAACTCGATTACCTTTTGTTTTTATTTTTGTTTTTTATATTTCCCTCCCCAAAGGTTAGTTTGTGCACTCTGGCATCATCATCTTATTTCACATGATCCAAGGGCCCTCCACCCACTTCTCCTCTTAGTCCTATTAAAGGCAAGAACAAAGGCAAAATGGAAGATTTAAGAAACATCAGGAAGGTGAGCACGACCGAACGGGTAGAGGCCACTAATAGCCAGGGTATTCGGGTTCCAAACGAGAATGTGTCGCAGCTTGAACAGAAACTGTTAAAGTTCCAGGAAGAGCTCAATCAGGTTCGGAATCTAGCAAACTTGTTATTTTCCCTCAGCACCCCAGATGTCAACTTCCCCAACACTTAAAACCCTACACCTCCTCAAAATATCCCAAAACAACATAATCATCCCGCTCCTCACCATCACGTTGCTCCACCAAAGAACCAATGTAACACCTGCCATACCCCAAACAACACTCCACTACTTATCCCAGAACCTCAAAACTCCACAAACGACCGTTTCCACACCCATACACCAGGCCACCATAACACTCCTATCTACGTGGAGGCCATGCCACACTCCACCCAACCTATCTCATGCACACCTGAGTCTGATGAAAAGGATCTGCTTATCAGGAACTTGGCCGAGGAACTTAAGAAATTGACCAGCCAAATTCAAGGCGTTGAGGGAAGCAAAGGAATCGAGGGGCTGAACTATGAGGATCTCTGCATACAACCTAATGTCGAACTGCCCGAGGGGTACAAACCTCCTAAGTTCAAGATGTTTGATGGTATGGGTGATCCAAGGGTCCATATGAGATATTGCGACAAGCTGGTTGGAGTAAGGAAGGATGAAAGAAATCGCATGAAGTTGTTCATGAGGAGTTTGAAAGGAGATGCATTATCTTGGTAAATCAGCCAGGATCCCAAGAAGTGGTCAAGCTGGGTAGGCATGGCATCTGACTTTATGGATAGATTCAGGTTTAATACAGAGAATGCACTAGACGTGTTATATATACAGAATTTGAAGAAGAAGCCCACGGAGACATTTCACGAGTATGCTACTCGTTGGAGGTCCAAAGTTGCTAAGGTCCGACCTGCCTTGGAAGAGGAGTAAATGAACAAGTTCTTCGTCCGGGCTCAGGACCCACAGTACTATGAGCGGCTGATGATGATCGAGAACCACAAGTTCTCCGACATTATCAAATTAGGTGAGAGGATTGAAGAAGGTATCAAAAGCGGTATGGTTACAAACTTCGAGGCCTTGCAAGCTACAAATAAGGTCTTACAGTCCAGTGGTGTGTCTAAGAAAAGGGACGTAAGGGTCGTGATGGTTGCACAAAGTACCAAGTCTCCCCTCAAATACCAAACCTACCCAACACCTCCACTCACATACCAGCCAACTCCAAATTACCAAGCACCCTCACCCTCATACCAAGCTCCACTTACCAACTTATCAGTCATCTTCACCTCCTACATATCAACCTACCTCACCCAAATACTCTCAATCCACTCATGTCGACCAAACCTATAATGCTCAACCATCCCACTATCAATCACCCCTACACGCCAAAACTTCCCTAGACCTCGACCTAATTTTGATCGCAGACCTCCAAAATAATATACAGCCATCGCTAAACCCATTGACCAGCTGTATGAGAGACTCAAAGTTGCTGGCTATGTCACCCTTATCCCTACTACAACCCCTGAGAATCCTTCCCAGTGGGTTAACCCAAACAAATCCTGTGCATACCACTCTGGCATGAAAGGGCACGCCATCGATAAATGTCGTTCCTTGAAAGACAAGATCCAGTCTTTGATTGACAACAAGATCATTATGGAGAAAGAACCCGCTCCAAATGTCTGCAACAACCCTCTGCCAGACCATAAGGGTGAAGGTATCCACATGATTGAAATAGAAGATGACTGGGATCCCGAGGGATCAATCAGGTCGATCGTAGAAGGTGATGACCCAAAGAAGCCAACAATTACTCTTAATCCAATCATAGTCCAGATCCAACCGTCTGAGGACACTGAGGTGAATATGTTTGTACCACTTGAGTTTGAAGCAACATCATCCGCAAATATACCAACACCAATTGAGGTTGAATTCGTGTCACCGGTAGATGCACCTGCACCATTTGAGGTTGCAGTCTTGCCACCCAAGGCACATGTTCCATTCGAAGTGAGGATAGTCGCGCCAATACCAGTGGAGATGTCAACCATGACACCATTCTATACAAATGTTGTACCATGGGACTACACAGCCGAGGCGAGAAGGAAGGGTAAGGTCAGAATTGAAGAAACTATCACAGCATAGGGTATGACGAGAACTGGTAGAGCCTATACCCCTGAGCATCTAGCTGAATCAAGCAAACAGGCCTCCAATAGGCCACCCCTCATTGAGACAGGTCCGGACGACCTTTGGAGGAAAATACATGCCAAGGAATATTCAGTCGTCGACCAGTTAAACAAGACGCCAGCACAAATATCCATTCTCTCTTTGCTGCAAAATTCTGAGGCGCACAAGAATGCTTTGTTAAAGGTGCTGAATGAGGCATACGTACCAAGTAACATCACTAGCGGGGAAGTGGCTAATATGGTAGGACAAGTTCTGGAAAGCCATAAGATCATTTTTCATGAGGACGAGCTGCCACCTGAAAGGCTGGGGCACAACAAGGCATTGTATATAGACATGTGATTTTTGACCCTCCCCAAGATTTTTCATAGTTTTGCATGTAAATGTTTAGTTTAGGCCTAACATTGCTATTTAAATTAGTTTTAACCCGTTTACTTTATTTTCTCACAAAAAATGAAAATTACAAAAAATAGTTTCATTAAGGTTTTGTAGTCATTTTTAATCTTGAAAAAATACCAAAAAATAGTTTCGTTTTAACGGTCAATCTTATTTTAATAATTATTTTTACTTAAGTAGGGCTAATTAATATTTTTAGTAATATTTCTATATGGATAGTTTTTAGTTAATTAAGCTAATTTTTAGCAAAGCTAGTCATAAAGGCCCAAGTTTATAGTCCATTCCTTGAGCCCAATGCATTCTATAATGAAGCACTAAAACCATTTAAAAGCAGTAAAACAGTGGAAAGTCAAGTAAAATCCTTTTTCAACAAGTAAACAAGTAATTAAGATAAGGCAACCAAATAGAAGTTCCCCCCTCGGGTGCAGTATCACCACATCCGCCCCTCGGGCAACATCTCAGAACAATAACAGCCCCTCGGGCTCAATCTCACATCATAATGGGTACCTGCGCTCACTGAGGGTGTGCAGACTCCTGGAGGGGCCCCTTACGTCCCAAGCACAATAACAAGTCATCTCGTGGCATCAAATCTAGGCCCTCGGCCTCATATCAATCAATCCACCTCGTGGCGTATATATCTCAGTCCCTCGGCCTCAAATCAGTATCAGTGTTTCCTCACAACTAGGCTCTCGGCCTTACTCAGTCAAAAATACTCACAAGTCACTCGGGAAACAGTAAAACAGTGTTTCTCAGCCCAAACATCATTTAAAATATCATTTAAGTAATAAATACAAACTCACTTTGACCAACTTTTCCTCTATGCTAATGCGACACGACCATCACGAACGCGGTGCTTCCTCTACCGTACTCATCGCGAACGCGCTCACTCTTCTGCGAATGCGGTGCTTCCTCTACCGTACCCATCGCGAACGCGCTCACTCTTCCGCGAACGCGATGAACACTTGATCTCGAACTCATCTGCCCAAATTCCTCTACGCGATTGCGAATGCAAAGGCTTAATCCTTGCCTTCCTCAACTGCCTCTTCGCGAACGCGAAGGGTAAAATCCCAGCAACAGCTGAACAAATTTTTCTGCAATTTTCTAAACTCCAAAATGATCCGATTGACTACCCGAAACTCACCCGAGGCCCCCAGGACCTCAACCAAAGGCACCAACATATCCTAAAACCTTATTCAAACTTGTTCCAATCATCAAAACACCTCAAACAACATCAAATTACCCAAAACACACCGGATTCAAGCCTATATTCCTAAAATCTTCCGAAATACGATTTTGATCAAAAACCCAACCAAACCACGTTCGAATAACCTAAAATTTTACACACACATCCCAAATGACACAACGAAGCTACTGCAACTCTCGGAATTCCATTCCGACCCCTATATCAAAATCTCGCCTATCAACCGAAAATTGCCAAAATCTCAACTTCGCCAATTCAAGCCTAAATCTACTCCGAACCTCCAAAACCCTTTTCGGTCACGCTCCTAAGTCGTAAATCACCTCCCGAAGCTAACCGAACCATCAGAACTCACATCTGAGCCCTCTAACACATTAGTCAACATCCGGTTGACTTTTCCAACTTAAGCTCCCTCAAAAGAGACTAAATGTCTCAAAC